TTTTGAGGAAATAAAGGGTCATCAAAACGATTAACGAGAAATTCCCATTTTTAAGTGGACCTTCTGATTATGGCTTTGGCATGCACATGAATGATGAATCTTTTGGTACAAAACAAACATAGCTATAGCGTATCCTAAAAGTGTCTTTTGGTAAGTCAGTGAAATCCATCATAACGTAACGTAGCTAGGCACTAACATAATAATGACTTTTCTCTGTCTAAATTTACAATATTTTTATTATTTTTTTTTAAAAGGATAAAAAAAAAGAAGAAAAAGTGAAGAATAGAGAAAGGATATGGTTTTTGAGGAGATTGTAACATTTTTGTAGCAGTTCAATGCCATCCGAAAATGTCATGAAAAGTTGATAAGAACGATATGGTTAGGAACCCTTTAGTTTAGGGTAATAGAGGAAACTTGACATATTCCCCCAATAAAATAAAATAATTAATGCTGGATAATGAGTTATCTAAATGTGTCTGAAACACCATTTATTAGAACGTGAATAAGTTCTCGCCGTATTAGTATTTTTTAAAAGTTAATTCTTACAGTAAACATGTTCGCATAAATTATTATGACGTCAACTAACGCACATTATCAATCACCATTGTACCTGTAAGCTAGTGATATTCACGTTTTGCTACTACTCGCCGTTGTCCGTTAAATTACTGACACTTGTGAAATTCCATCTAAACTGTAAGATCTATCAAATCAGTGGAGCTTGGAATTTGGGAATGACCATTGGCAATGGCGAATGGTAATAATAAATGCTGTCCAATAATGGTTAAACTAAGTTATCCATTAATGTTACTTGGGCATTATGGTAACAATTTAAAGAATACACATTATTAAACTTTTACTGTCAAAATTTGTTTTTTTTTTATTTCCTTATAATATACAAAGAGTGACCATTTCTTAGTTACAAATATATGATTAAGATTCTTGAATTGGTGGTCACGGAATATTGCAACAATTCATATATATTATCTTTGATAAAGTTCTAACATTCAAATTTCAAGTTCTCTTTTATTATATAGCTTCCTTTAACTGTGACCCTTGTTCTCTCTAATCTCCAATGTCTACATGCTTAATTAGTTTGCTTATTTAATCATGATATTAAAAGTGTTTGTATCTTGTAGGATACTATCAATTTGAATACTTGTACAGCAGTATATATGCCTAGAACATTGGACAAGTTTATTGACTTCATTCTATCCTTGCAGTCGATCGATATCGCCTATCAATATTGAATGAGTGTACCTGCTACATCCCTGTAATGTGTTACTCTAATTTATTCAAGCGTTTGCCTCTTCAGTTGAATAGGGGGAAAAAAAAATAAAAATGGTATGATTTGAAAGGGAAATTTTAAAAAAGAAATAAAAGAAAGTTATATAGTAAAATGTTAGATATACGAAGCTTGGGAGAGTTTATAGAAATCATCGCCGGACAGGGTTTACTCGTTCAACGCTATAGCAACCTTAATTTGAACAAAAGTATGCCACCATGCTAAGAATGGAATAGTTAGATCCACTTTAGGCTTACTGGTGCAAATTTAATATTGGAGATAATGAGTTGTAAAGATGTGTTTAAAAAATATTATTTAAGTACCGAATAAATTTTTGCCACGTTAGTATCCCTTAAAACTTAATTTTAACTATAAAGCCAGACACATGTTCGCATAAATTTTTTTTTTAACCTCGATATTGTATCAACGTACACGAATTATCAACCACTGTCATGATTTAGGGCAATCATCTCCTTTCAGTGATACTCACTGCCCGTTGCCCTCTACTCGATACTCACTGAATTGTTGTCAACTGAAAATATTCCAACTAAATTGTCAAGATTATGTGACCACTTGCGGTTGATGGTAGCAGATAGTAACAAATGATAATGGCGATTGTTCAGAAATGGTTAAACCGAATAAATGACTTATAAAAGAAAGAAAGAAGAAGAGAATGTTCACGATAAAGTTAGAATTAGGCCTGTAAGAGGGTACAAAACAACAACTTGACACCATTGATAGAAGTCTAGAATGGGTTCTCAATTTGGTCACTTTCTTGTTGGTAATTAAGTATCAAGCTAAATATGTAGCTTCATTTCTGGACTATGGTTAACATAATATCAAAACAAAAATTAAGATACCCTACTTGAAATTTATAGTTACCTTTTGTGTTGTTCCTACTTCATAGTAACAAAGACTCCTTCGCTTTTGACTCTTATTGGTGGAATGTGTTACGCCAGAACTCTTACCAGGCAACATTACAAGATGTGTCGCACTAGAAAAATCATTTTGAAAAGAGAAGATATAAATTTATGAGCCCAGAAAACAAAATTTATAAACGATGTCCTTCGATCATTTATAAATTCGGGAAATGCAGGTGGAATAAAAAAAAGCTCCATTAATTGTTGCTTTCTAGGTTTTTAGGGAGGAGTGAGTGAGACAAAGAAAATAGAGTAAGTGGGAGAGAGAAAAATAGTTACGTACTTACTTTCCAATTTCGTTTTTGCAATTTTGGCATCCCATGAAGAAAAATTGTAGGTTTTTTTTTTTTTTTTTTTTTTTGCTGTTTTGGTCATTATCTTATTTGTATCATTTATGCCTAAATTAGTAACCTTAAACCAGCCGAAAAATAGAAACCCTCCATTATCCAATTTCCAACTCTGCCTATAAAAACTGGTCTCCGCCTGAAGAATACAATGTGTCCTCTCATTTCGCGTGGGATACACTCGCTCACGGACAGCTCGGGTAACCAAGTCAAAGCAGCACGTTTTCCTAGCCCACAATGACTAATTTGCCCTTTCCCTTTTTTATTCCTTCCAATGCTAATGCCCTTCCGAAAATGTCACATCATTAGAGAAACATTAACGCTAATGACTTTGTGTCCCCTCCAAGTCTTTGTTTATTCCCATAAATACAGATGAGAGATATTGGTGTTTTAGTTTGGTCTTGTCTCTTACGTTAAGAAAGGTTTAATTCGGTTCGAAAATTTTAATTACTGTTTCGATAGAAATAATAAGTTTGTTGTACAAAATTTTTGACTTCTTAAGCTGATTTTATTCATTTTGAAACAGCGATTTATAGTTTAGGAACATATGGATTTAAGATATTATTTTCAAGATCAATAACAAAAAGAAAGAAGCGATGTATGTAGAATTTAAAAACTATTATGTGATGCCTTTTAAGTTGTGTATTGATCATTCATTCTCAAACTAAAATTTACCAATTTCTCTAGTCTATTTGTGAATATTTTTTACAATAAACCTATCAACTATTTCAAAATGTCAGGGAAAAAAACTAATCTCTGAAGTCACATATTTTTCTTTCTATGTCGATTGGGTATTTATGCCACTTCACCTTTTTTAGGTGAAATTAGCCTTATTAGAACTCATTTGAAAACAATTTTATTTTACTTTTTTGTAGGGTTGGCTGAGGCCTAAATCTAATCATAATTAATCTCTGGACAGCAATATATAAAATTTGCTAAAAGTAGAATTATTGAAAGAAAACAAAAAACTAACATTATCTCCTCAAAGCAATCAGTGTCCACCTCAATTCTAAAATAAGACATAGGGTTCGGATAAAATATTGTGGCCACATTGCACTAATGTAGATCGATGTGTTTAGGAAAGTGCATTTCTAATTATAAAAATCAGATGGATGTCCTCATAGTAGCAAATAACATAGGAATACCAACCAACCATCATATCAAACTGCAACTTGCTCGTCGTCTTCTCTTTCTAATAATGTCAACATCCTGTTAGGCAATATTCATCAGTTTTTTAAAACTTGGAATCGTACGACAATTATCTTTAGGCTTAACAATTGTTTGAATGAGACAAGAAACAAAACCACAATGAGCATAAAAATTACAGTCGAATATGATATTTCTTAGCAAATACGTCTGTCTGTCTGTAAAATTAATTTATTTTGTTATTTAATAATTTTATTTAGAACGAGTTAATATGTTTTTCTCCCGGACATAGTAAGTTGTAAAAGTTAGGGTCTATAATTTTTTTTCCCTTAAATTTGTGAAAAAGAGTTACATCTTTTTCTCAAACTTATTTTACTGTGTTATACGTAAAATGATACATAAAGTGAATGAAATTTTACCGTGATGTCAAATGAATATAGATATACAACCAAATTCCTCAATAAGGAATTGATTCAACAACGTTCAAAGAAATGTATAAAGTATAGTTAATCCACAACACAACCAAAGTACCAAACGCACACACAAACATGAAACAACCACTTCTTGTTAGATGGAAGAAGAAAAAGGTTTTTTTTTTTTTAAAAAAAAAAAGAGAGGGCAAAAGCGTCAATGAAACCAAAAAGGCGAAGACTCCCCAAAATGGGAAGCTTAAAATACTAAAAGAAGGAGTTGAAGAGACAAACACGCGTCGGTCATCTATAAGGTGGCGGCTTTTTCCTCAGACCCAACAAAATTCAATTTTAAAACCTATGCGCATCCTGATTGGCCCACGTGTAAAACCACTAGCGGTTTTTGCCCTATATTGTAATAATTCTTCCTCCCCGCTTTCTAAAACAGTAATAAAACAGTCTTCTTCCCCCACATTTTCGCATTTTTACATTTTTATACATTCTTTCCTTATATGGTTGATGATGTGATTCCAAAAAGAAAATAAAGAAACGCAGCGAGAGATCTTTTTGTAAAAATTTGTCTCCATCATCACCAAAAAAAAAAAAAAAAACCTTTCTCTCATATAAACATCAGATTCAATTCAACGCTCTCAATTTTCTCTCTCTTTCCTTTCTCAGCACTTCAAAAAAAACCTGTAAGTTCCATCGATTATTTTTTTTGTCTCGAAATTATTTCATTCTGTGTAAAATTAGCTCGGATTTGGAGCTTTTTCTTTTCTTTTTTTTTGGCTCCGGCGCCGGAGAGAAGAATATAATCTATTTGTGTTTTGTGTGTTTTTGTTGTATGAGATTTGCGAAGAACGTTCGCGAGAGAGATCGAATTTTGAAGGGAAAAAAAATGGGGAGAGGGAAAATAGTGATAAGGAGGATCGACAATTCGACGAGCAGACAAGTGACGTTTTCGAAGCGGAGGAATGGATTGTTGAAGAAAGCTAAGGAGCTGGGAATCCTGTGCGACGCGGAAGTTGGAGTCATCATCTTCTCCAGTACCGGCAAGCTTTTCGATTATTCCAGCTCCAGGTTCTTCCTATAGCACTTACTCTCTTTTCTTTCTTCATCATTTTTCTTGTGTCTATGCTGTTTTTGTAGTCTTCGTCCTTTAAAAATGAAGAATTCTGATTTCTAGTTGGTCGTTGTTGCCAGATCTGTGTGTATGACTAGTTTTTTCCAACTGTGATTCTACTTGTTTATTTGAGCTGAGCGTAAATTGCTAAAACTTCTTCTGTGGCCAATTGATTTTTGGTTTTAACTTTCTACGGAACATTTTTTGTTACAATCGTCTTTGTTGTTTTGGTCAAGTATATACTGTGTTTAGTACTGACACTAGTCTTCGGGGGTTTAACTGTGGATCAATTCGAGTTTTTCCGACATCATGATTAGGGTTTTGTTGAGTTGGGAGCTAGAACTAGTTTCTGATATACTCCTTCTATCTCAAAATTATTATCCACTTTGAAATTTCACTTTTAGTACAATTTGAACTAGAAATGAAAACTCAATAGACAATAATTATGGGACGGATGGAGTAGTATAGTTGCTTAGCAACTGTGATCAAGGTCAAAATTAAGTTTTGCATAAATTGATGCTTTTATTGGAATATGTTTGTTCATAATATATAGTATATGTGTCCGTACATTGGGGAATGGAGGATGAATTTGTAGAGCAAATAATTTAGATATCATAAGAAGGGAATTAAAGTGCTTCTTGGAGTTCCACTAACTTATATATGACCATATAGAACATCGTATCTGTATGTACTGGTGATCCAAAACCTGTGCGTTTAATGCTAAACGAATGCTCCTTGTTAAACTTGATTCTGATTGAAAGGCTCGTAGGATGCCGATTGAAGTACTCATTCTGTTCCTAAATTAGAGCCGCGTTTATTGTACTGGTTATTGTAGTGTTTAGTACCGATAATTTGATTCTTAAAAATCAAGCAGATAGGAGGAGCTCCCTCCAATACTCCTTTAGCACTAATTGCCCGGTATAATTAGAGTCTCGTGGAAGAGGAGATAAAATTAGAAGTGAGAATTACAAATTATTATTTCTCGCAGTATGTAGTATCGTAGTGAATAAAGAAATCAAAGGTCGTATAATAAAACAAATTAAAGAAAACTAGAAAAGGTCATTTTTTTCTTTACATAATTACTTACACTTACTTTCAAGGGTAAGGATGTGTAAACAAAAAGAGACCAACTAAAGGTTAGATGAAATTAAGTTGGAGGACTCTTGTGATTGGTTAATTAACATTAGCCTTGTTGCTAGTTAACTAGATAGCATGGTGTAGTGTGATGTATACTAGTAATTAGCTAGACAACATGGTGCAATTTAAAGTTCCTATGCATTAGCTTTAAGAAGTATATATCACGGGACACAAATCAATAAAGGACGCCTAACTACTATAAGGGTGTACTGAGATGATAAGGATGATGGAGATTGTTGTTATCAGGAGTTCGGAGGTTTAAACTTTCATTAGTATCATCAATTTTTTTGGGATACAAATCAGATAGATAATGTTGACATATGTGGCTTCGCGGTTCTTTACCGACAGAAATTACAACATTGTGTACTCTTCCAACAGCAAACAAAGAAAAAAAAAAAGTACTAATAATATTGTAATGTGCGACTTTAAATCAGATTGGTGTCATGTACAACACATAACCTTAGTTATAATACAGGCTTCCATTCCTTCTCTTAACTACATGTTGATTTTAACTAAACTTGATCATATTTGTATAGGTGATGTCGAAGATAATAATTGTAGAAATTGAAAATATAGACTCCTTTCAAAGGATATTTAGAAGGCGTATGTGTATGGAGATTATAAATAGGAGGAAAAGAAACCTCCCCAAAATGAGTGCTGAAAGAAATAAACTGCAGGCTGAGATTCCCCCACACACACACACACACACACAAGGAAAAAAAAATGGTTATGAATATTCTTTAATTAAATCCATGCGAGTACAGTCTCTTAAATTAAAGAAAGAATAGCATGGTTTACATATTAGGCACAGTATATTGATGTTACACGTCGACAAAGAGAGAGTTATTGGCTCAGGGTGAAGATTAAACTACTTTGTGATGAAGAAAAATCATGTCATATCAAAAAATAAAATAAACTTAATAAAATGATTTAGTAATTATTTAAAAACACGAATAACTATAAATTGCCACGGTAACAAAGAGAAATATGCACAATTATGTTTCAAACTATCATTTCTTGATCCATCTTTGATCGCTTGATCTTAAGCTCTCTTTTCAACTAAGGTTGCTTAACCATAAAAGCTTTTCTTCTTTCTTTTTTATATCTCATCTTTGTGAATGATAAATAGAAACTGAGGGAGTGTATTTGTTTGTTTTTTTTTTAATGACATTTTTTTTTGGTAAATACAATTGTCTTTGTTTGCTTGATTCTAAACAGTCAAATACAAGGTCCGCTGGTGTCAACTTCTTGCCGTAGAAGTCCATTAGGATCTTGAAACCAAGTGACCTTGAAACTCCCTTGTGTGTGTGTGTGTGTGTGTGTGTTTTTTTTTTTTTTTGGACCACAGAATTGCTAAACCAATCAAAGCAGATAGTTTTCGTTAATTTTGAGCACTTATATAATAAGACCGACTTCACTAAATCAAGCAGATTAGTCCGGAAACAACTTGTTCATTATATTGTTTGTTTTTTGGGGTGAAATAAGTTATTACTAGTATCAATTTGTTATTAATTAGTCCGGGACACAAACTAGTTGGTGTGTTTGTTATGAGAAGTTGACAACTTGTTACTTTCGGTCATCTAACTAAGTGTTGTGATAATCCGTGTTTTTCAAAAATTAGTCTTGCCTTCAACATGTGTAAAAACTTAGTCAATTGTGTAGTTAAAATAGAAAGTTCAAAAATCTTGCCTTATTAAGTAGGAAGTCCTGATAGTGCAATTTTAAATTTTTTACTTTTAGTACAATTTTTACTAAAATTAAAAATTTTAACTAGATAATCATTTCGAGACGAAGAGAGCATATATTGTGCAAGTTCATGAAATTTGTTGTAATGTTTATTGAGAGCCGGAGATATATAAACAGGACTCATATGTGCACTAGTCACCTAGGCAGGTTTGAAGACTAGAACTTCATCTGTTCATAAAAACAATTTAGTTGTCAAACAACAAAAATTTTGTTGTAATGTTTATTTAGTTGTAATGTTTCCCCGAAGCTTTTCTTTTCTTCTACAAACAACAAAATCACTTACTCCGTGATTATTATTAAATAAATTACACCAACTAAATTGTTGTCAAAAGTTTTTTATGGATAGAAAAATATATTGAAAATATCAGTTCACTGTCATATATGAATTTATTAAGACGTAGTATATAAATTTAGTCTAATAACCATGTATGCATCGGTGTTTGGAGATGGACAAGCTAACATTGTCCCATAATTTTACTTTGTGAGATGTACAAAACCTCGTATCCCTAAGAATTTGTATACTATATTCATTTCTGACGTATCCCTAAATATATAACATTATAACTGGAATCTGCATGGCCACCGAACTAAAACTCCACGTGCTTTCTCTCATCTTCGTAAAAGTCTGAGGAATCAAATCAGTCCGACATTGTTTCTGTCCTTCTCTGAAGGAGATAGGATTACAATATAATAGTACTGCATCATTGGATACCCTGATTGGAAGAAACGGATTCAACAGCTAGCCGTAAAGCAGTTTTAGGTTATTTTGCGACTTGTCTTACCAATTTTATTGGGAAACTATTGTAGCGCTGTCCGATTTTTAGAGTACCAAGCCACCAACTATTAAATTAACAAAAATATTTTCTCGTCTTTGTCATTTTTTGATAACGGAATATCGTAAAAACTAAAACATCATAATGAATTTGGCATTAGAATATATTATTTCTTTATTGGCAAGTTACATAATAATATAATGTTCGCTTTATTTCAAAATACAGACCGTTTTAAGAATTTGATCAAATTTTTTAAAAAAGTACCAAATAATTAGTTAAAATACAAAATTTCTCCCAGTTTTTCTTTTTAAAACAAGAAATCTGGGGACTATAGTAATATTTTCCCCCTTCTTTTGGTTTTTTTTTCCCCCATTAGGACTATAATGAATTTGCATTCCTTTGATATTAGAGTCATAGTCATTTCAAAAAACTGCATTGAAAACCTCTTCTTAATGGGAGAGCCCATTTCTCATAGAGGGATAAAACCCCACAAAGACGAGACCAACTAAAAACAAACACATAAAGGAAAAATAATGATTGTTGTTACAGTTCTCTATTAATGAGGATGAGAAAAAAAAATGATTTATATATGAGTAATGTACTCAAATAGTTCTTTACATTTGCTGAAAAAAATTAATTTGATCTATACCATTAATAATTCACTGATTTGGTCCGTTATATTTGTATTTCAACTAATTTGATTTTTTTACTTTTTTTGACACTTCATATTTGGAGATTCTCAAGTTGACCAATTCTGGATCAACTCAATAGGGATTTTATTTTGAAAATAGTCATTTTTAAAAAATATATAAAAAAACAAAAATTTGATAAAAATCTTTAATTAAAATATAATTAATTTTAAATTATTTAAAATAAAAAAATTGAAAAATCAATTTAATTTTTTAAGAAAAATCTTATGTCCTAATTTTTTACATTCGAGGACCTCACCTGACACTACTTCTTTTCCCTTCTTCTTCCCTCGATCAAACCCCATTTTCAACTTCCTAAAAGCCCCAATTTGCCATGAATCCTGATTCCATGGTTTAGCGCAATGATTTAGCGCATGAGTTATTAGTTGGTAGTAATTAGTAGGATTGGAGTTCTTTGGGAGGCGGAGACGGAGGGGGATAAAAAAATGTTATTTAACTGGGAGATAAAAGTGAGAGTAAGGAGAAAGTGGTGGGTTATGTAGGTCCAATAGAACACAATTAGGACATTAAATTTTAAAAATTAATTAATTTATTTTTTAATGATTTAACTAATCATTTATTAATATATTATTTTTAAGATTATTTTATCAAATTTAGATTTTTTTTGTATCTTCAAAAAATTAAAAAATATGAAATCTCGAAAATATCCCTTTTGACTTGACCCAAAATTAGTCGACTTCATAACTCCCAAATATAAAGTGCCAAAAAAATAAAAAGGATCAAATTATTGAAAATGAAAATGTAGAGGACCAAATTAGTAAATTATTGATAAGTATAAAGGACCATTTTAGTAGATTACTCTGTATATATTTATATTCATTTTATTTGTCTTCAGAGAATGAGAGGTAGAAAACAGAGATGAGAGACAAAGATGAAAGTGATAAGGTCAAAACTCTTCTCATGCTAAGAATTACTATTACATTCCAATAATAACTTGGTCACACTTCCCCAACTGATATGCTTATATGATATTGTGTTTTGCCATTGATTGACTCAAATATATTCCATAGAAGAGCTTTGATGCCAATTTATTGTCAAATGACCATAAGTTCAAGCAAAAGAAACAAGGGTTCCGATCCATTCAGTTGTTTAATCTATCAAGATACAAGTTAGAACTTTTAAAAAGCCTGAAATAGGGGAATTAAATGATGTAATATTCGAGAAGATATTGTATATATGAGGTTAGGATATCAATTCTTCTCAGATTGGTTCAAAACACAACCCGTTCCCTTGGCTATGGTTTCGCTGGATAGTAGACAGACCTGGAAAAACAACAAATAGCAAACAAAATTTTTCTTATAATATCTCTACTCCCTATAAACTCTAAAAAGATTAAAACAAATAAAAGATCTAAAAGGGGAAAAAAATTATTAAAAAAATAAAAGAAAAAGAAAAACAAAACTAGAGCAAAATGCTGACTTAGCCCAATCCTGACAAAAATTCATAATCCTCCTTAAATATAACCTAAAAAAAAATATCATTCTGTTTGACCAGGATCATGGTTTGACCTGCAATGTAGATGTAATAGGCATGATAGACCCTCCTAATGTTTTCTCACGAGAGATAAAATAATCCATTTTCATGAATCTCCAAACGTTTTAATGAAACCATTGTAAACAACTAATACATATTTTCCCTCTGTCGCCATGTATTAACATTCTAGGATATCCTCTGCCCCCTCCTCTTTTCCCCCGCTCTTTCCTGATCACCGACCTTTTATCCTTTTGTGCTATCTACTTATTATTTCCGTAGTAAAATAATTATCTAATAATCTATGTATTATTTTTTACCCTTGTGTGTTATCTAGTTTTTGTTTTTGTTTTTTTTTTCGTTATTGCTATTGCTAAGGTATCTTCGGCCTTGTGGTTACACCCGTATCCTTATAATATCACCTTCCTTCTTACCCCCTCCGTATAAGCCTTCATCTGATTATAAGATAGAAATACAAAAAGAAACTTTGCAAGAGTTATTTCGGACGAATGTCTAGACTCATCACTTAATGAGATTATGGATAGAAACCAGCTTGATAAAGTCACACCTATACGTTATTGATCATCTTTAGCCACCTGTTTTGTTAGTTCCTCCTATACGGTTCCATTTCGATTGACTGTCACTTGTCAAGTTCTCATTTTGAGCATGGGACTTGGATTCTCCTTTTTGTAGGTATTAGATCCCTTGGTTATAATGTACCTTTAGGGTCACACATCTCTGTGAGCATATTTTCTTGTCTTTTTTACCTTTCTTTAAATTGTGAACACGAGTTTAAATAATACATAACAAACCGTAGATTAGATTTGTACAACCGTGTGCAAAAAAACTTAAGAATTTGTTAGGAAATGAAACTGATTATAAGGACTCAATGTAACAAGAGTAAACCATACAATAATTTTTATGACATTAGAAAGTTAAGTGGCATTGAAATAGAAAATAAGCACAACGTTTTCAATTTTGTTCCACCTCAGTTTCACGAGTACTACACTTTGTTCTACTTTATTCTGCTCAGCTTTCACAAAAATTGAAAAGATTTCAATAAAATACTTCTCCAAACATCCTAGAGTTGGAGCATATGGAAAGCAAGAGGAAGTATTTTCTCCAATTGGCTTCTTTCCTCTACTCTCAAAAGATGCACAAAATGTAGAATTTGTACACTAATCCTTTTCCACAATTCACTTCCTCTTACACATGTACAAGACTAGCCTAAACACATCCACAAGATTAAGGAATCGCCATATGCATTTACATTGTTCATCTTCCTTCATTTGCTCCTCTTTTAAACATGCACAGGATTAGCCACAGTTTCATTGTTGTTTCATTTTTTATCTTTTTTCTTTCAAGATATCTTACTAGTTCAGGAAAGTAGTCCACACTGATCTTACAATTTCTAAATTGACTCACAATGATTTAGGTAAAAACTAGAATTTCCTCCTTTGGTTGTAAGAAACATCTAAGAATATGAGCTTACGCATTCTCTATGGTCTAAGGATACTACCATAATCTACATCAGATAAAGTCTTCCATCTCATCCAAGAACGTAGGAGAGTGTGCGATAGAAACCAGCTTGAAGTGGATAGTTATGTTAAATAGAGGAACCAGCTCGAAGTGAGTTATGTTAAATAGAGGAACCAGCTTTTTCATAAAGTGTGCGCTGTTGACATAGCTCCTTAACTTTGGCTATATAGTGTATACATATAGTTCGGTTATCTAAACGAATTCTGATCTGGGTTTGATTACAGCATGAAGTCAGTGATCGAAAGATACAAAAAAGTAAAAGAAGACCATCAACAACCGGCTAATCCCACTTCTGAAGTCAAGGTAACATTTGATTTCCTAGATTTGCAATATAAAGAAAGAGAAGAAAATGTGCATCAGATGTGTTTATATCATTTCTTCAAGATTCAGGCATGAATAACCATACACTTAGAAGCTCATAAAAGCTGAATGCAGATATTAAATAAGTAGAGTTAACAGCCTTGGAAAAACTCAGAAAGTTCAGGCATGGATAATTTGGTGCTCTTAGCAAAAGTTGGCAATATCAAACGGCATATGTAGTAATACAAATAGAAAGCAGGTACTAACTTGATGTAGACGAAGTCATCAGTCATGGAGAATTTTCTCCTTAAAAGACAATCAAATAACAGACCCTGTTTGGATTTCTTAGATTACATAGCCGTTTTGTGCCCCAACAATTCTAGTGGCAGGTTTGAGGAAAAGGAAAAATGATCCCTAAAATTATGGTTGGCACAATATGCAAACATTGTTTAGGGCCAAAACACGAGCAAATTTTAAAAGTATTGTCTATAACAGCTCAGACACCTTCAAAACCCAAAAGCCCTAAAAAAACTTATGGAACCTGAATGGTGTGTGCAAATTAGTTATATTAGAAAATCATTGGTTTGTACACAAAATTGTTCATATTAAAAAAAAAAAAGGTAAACATTTTGAAGAGCAGTTACCTTTTATGCATGAACTTGTCTGGAGAGAATGGTGCATCGAAAAAGGCAACTTCATTTCTCATAATCAAGTAACCATCATGAAAGAAATTTCATAACAACGTTCTTTGCCAGGAACAAAATCTTGAATTTAAATGAGAAAATGTTTATTTGATTGTAAAACTCAACATCACACGCACACACAGACACACACACACCCAACACACGCACACACCCATATCATGATATGAACAATTATAGCAGTAAGAAAATATACAAAATCCAGGTTAAACAAGATTCCAACAAATATGGTTAGAAGTAAAATAAATGCATCTTTATAATATGCCTTGTATAAGGATCAGTAGCTGCAAAGAGAAAAATTGTAGGCATTACAAAAATTTACATGGGCTTAATTTAAGGAAACGATCATACTGTTTACCAATGGCAACTTTCAAACTTCACAGTAACTGCTATAGCAGGCAGGTGTAATAATGTTACTTCTCAGAGGATAGACAAGGTAAGGGAATCAATAGTGCTACAGAGATTTACTGATTCCCACACTGGAGATATGAGTGATTTAAAATCATATCCCCTCACAGTTTCAAGGATCAGGAGACTCTGCCTTACAATGTGGAATGCGTTCTGCCTTGGGCTACCAACCCGCACTGAGTACTGTGTTCAATTCAAACAGATATAGGAATTGATAAATGTTATCCATTCTTTTCACCAGATCACTCCATAACACATGAAGGTTGACACAATGTCTTATATTTGTTAACCTTTTTTCCCTAGAAAACATGCCCACAATCTAACTGACAAAAGTGACAATATGCAAGACCATCCATAAAGATTAATACTTAGATATGACAATCATTCAACCTGTTAACAATGACAGGGACTTCAGGGCAGTGAAACATATGTTTCAAGTTTTTCAATGGAATCCAATATAGTCCCAGCACCCGAGGAGGGTGTTGATAGTCGTTCAAGGAGGAGCCTCTGACAGAGCAGAGGAAAGACATTCAAGTAAACTTAGCGGAAGTGGCATATCTTGGAAACTGTAGTAGTAGCAATCTCCTATATATAACACATGCAAGGTCAATAAACAGGTTTGTACAGTACTCAGAAACACTTCCCAATTCTGAAATGTGTTTAAGAGAGACAATGAAAACTAAAGCAAATGATTAGACAAAACTTCCTCAGGGGTTAATCATGTTATAACAAGGATGACGCAGCCATAACCTAGAGATCCTATCACTATTCTATGTAACATACCATAGACTTGAGAAGCCTATACGCGACCCTGGTTAAAGATATACCACAAACTGCAGAGAGATTTTATTGATCACCGGCGGGAAACAAGTAGTGATGCATCTTTTCTTTAACACAAGACGGATGCATGTAGTGATGCATCACAAGAATAAAAGTAAGCCGTCCTGAGCTCACCACAGCCGTATAACAAGCAAAGCATTCCATAAGAATATGGACAGCTGAAAACTGGGGGAAAACAAAGAAAACTGGAGTAATTAAAAATGTTTCTGAGATAGCAGATATGGGGCAAAGACTACCAACTGTCCCTTTTTAGTTGCGTAAGATAAAGCGTTCTTGTACATTCGTCAGTACGCGAACCAGGGGATTAATGACATCTATGTCACAACCTGTAATCTTCCTGGAACTGTGACATCTAAGCTGTGAATGCTACAGCTTTAACAGATATTTTAGAGATTATTTGGTAGTTCAAGTGTAAGAGATAAAAGCACGGGAAAAGGTGCTGGTTCCTATGGTTCAATTTCCAGCTGAAAAGTTGTCTCTAAACATCTATCAGCGGTAAGAAAGCTCTGTAACCAATGCTAAGACCATATTACCCTCCAAATACGTTAAGTTCAATTTCAAAATAAGAAGTTATAAAGTAGTATAATCTTCAACACATTCAGGGAAACCGAGCACCAAAGCTTCTGATCCAAGAGGTAGTGAGCAGAGCTAAATCACAGGTGACCAATTAGTACAGCTTGATTTCCTAACTCCAATTCTATTATTATTCATGGAGTAAATGAAAAATCACTGAAGGAAAGAACTATAAATTTCGCACCTCTGTATTTATCATCTCATCAACTAGCAAAAATTTTCCTCATTTATCCTGATTCTGTATTGCAGATAACAAAGGAAAACACACTCAAAAGTCCTTGAATGATGTCACTAGAAGCTGCAGCTCTGTAGCATTTTTCATTAAAAGATAGTTCGTTAACAGGTCATCATTAAAGGAGTTCTGGAAGTTTAAAGCACATTGCGACACCCTAATTACAGTGATGATATGAAGGGACAATTTGTCCAGCATTCCAACAATTTAGGTGTTGGATAGTGCAGCATAAACTAAAAATTCCAGCAGTGAAAAGTTGCCAAATAACTGTCCAAGATGATTCTGCCTGGACTGGAAGTTATCAACAAAGTCCAGCAGAAGCAAAGAGTCTGAGATGGTTGGGCACAGTATCTCTGGTAAGATTTATCCTAGAGCCACTAATCATTCCAACGCACTGCAGAGATCCTAAATGTAGAACTAGGCAGTTTCATAAACTAGTTTAAAATCAAAAGCATAGCTTAACCAACATTTGGACATAATTCCAATCCACATCCTAGTAATCTCATGTAAACCCATTCTTTCAAATTTAACAATCTACTACGGCTTCGGACACAGCAATAGGAAGATGTAAGTTCGCGAGGTAAATCTGACGAAATATTCTTTAGATAATGATTCCACCCTGATCGGCTAAATCTAGCCTAGAAACCCTCACTCATGCAGTACTATAATAACGATAAAAAAGCGGATAAAGAACTTAGACCTTCCAAAATTTAGCAGGCCATATTGACTTTCATATAGTATACGCCAAATATAAATGAACCGAACGTCAAAATGCTTGTTTACTTCTCAATGGACATAAGAGATTCCTGGCCTCATTTTTCCAACCACCGGCCAAGAAAAAAGACTAAATAGATTACTCTACACAAATATAGCAAAGAAGGACAAGTGAGAACACACTACTAGAGAGTAGAGGCCCAAAAAAGAAAAGCAAGTCAAATATTGCGGCGATATAGTTCTAACTCAGGCCATTGAAAACCTTTAACTAGCATGTTTATACAGAGTCCTCAGACGTATATAGCTTTTAACCAGGGACAAAAGATGGCAGGTGATTAATGTCAATTGAGAGAGTATCAGTCTGTAGTGAGTTATCTGATGAAAGAACTCATATGTTTCTACCAGAAGAATGCAGGAACATCCAGCATTCATTTAGTTGCAGTGTTGCCCTTCTTTAAGACTTCAATCGTTGTTTCACCTGGCAAGGAAGTTGGCCTCTAAGAAATTTTGAAAAGTTATGAGCTTGTTTCAAGTTATGAGCTTGTTTCATGCATATCTTTTTATTGCACAAATAAGCTGGTGTTTGAGACAAAGTTGTGATTTGAGAAAACCACATTTTTCTAACTAGAAGGATCGGAGGAGTAGTCATGAGTATTTTTTGGTCCACAAATTTCAATTTATGCATCAAAACACAACCATAGAAGTCAAGCTATGAAGTGAAGCTTAGCAGAAAAGGAGACAAATTTCTTCCACACAAGATAAATCAATTGAGAAATTAAGAAAGGTCACAAGGAATAGTTGGATGAAGCGTTGGCTCTTAACTTTAATTTAGATGCAGTATGAAGAGGTAATCACAACTATAGTTTTCTTCATTCCTTTACATATTTCAGTAAATCTCCTGGATATAGTTTGCCATAGCCACCATGATAAATATTACATACCTAAGAGGAGGAATTCTTCACGAATTCGCATTAGCTGGACCAGAACTCAAGTTCTCAAACTTTTTATCATGCAGTGAAAGCAAAGGTTGACTGCCTCAACCGTGAAAAATATTAAAATTTTTTATTTAGGAAAAGTGAGTGAAAAATGAAAGCAATGAATGTGAGTAACATGCAGCAAAATACAACAGTAAAGCCTTCTTCTTTAAACATGGGTCCCCTGTATGGATTGTATTCTAAAGCAGAGAAAATTTCAGGTTATTGCTATATTCAGATAACATGAAGGGTGGAACTAATTTTGTACTAGATAATTAAAAAAATGCCCAAAATCCTGGGATCCCACCTGATGGTCCGGAGATGAACATCTTTTCATCTGTATGCACATCAAAGCTACACATCTTACCTAGTAAACATAATAGAGTGCACGACAAAGAAAAACATAAAGTAGGAATTACCCTCTAGAGCTTTTGTTTGCTTCATCAAAGGAGAACAGATAACCCAAAGGGCAATAAAGAAAAAATCTCAGTATTCATTTGTTAGAATTAATCGGAGGTTTATCATTGATACAATGAAGCGATCTAATTCTGAAGGATGATAACAAAACATGAGAAAATATTTAGTTGCAGACGTGAGTTTGAAATTAAACTTGCCATTGAGTTCTGCATTTCCAGGAAGTAAAGGCAACAAAGAACCATTCAACATGTTCCTTTTGCTTGGTTCACCATCAAAAGCGATACATTCATTCTCACATACCTCCATGGTTTTTCCCAACCAGGCAAAGTGAATTGAAATGATTCAAGATATAACAGAAAACAAAAAAACCAACTATATAGACCTTTTATGTGTGTGTGCTACATTATCTTTACAAAACATTACATTCTTTTCATTCAATTCATGGAACCCCTCCTCAGAGGAAAAGACTAAGCAAATAACGCATGATGATAGCTGGCACAGACAGTTTGATTTTCTACCAGAGTCTGTACCATGACATATACACTGCATCTTTTTTATATTCCTGATGATGATATTAATATCATTTTCAAGTTGTTTGATGCCACTGGTGGGAGATCATTTCTTTGTTGTTTGAAATATTTGAAAAACTGCTCATCAATAGATACCATAATGCTTCTTGCGACATAATTGCAAGACACTCACAACTTATCATGATGTGGCATCTGACAGTTTTGGCAACGTGAAGCTGCAATGCTAAGGCAACAACTCCAGAATTTGCAGGAGAATCATAGGTATGTTTTTTGTCTCGGGCACAAATCTACTCTATACAAAGTTGAATGTGCTTATTATATCTAACTAAAGAACCTGACCTAAATTTACTAATTTTACTAATTGCTCGACATCCCGACCAGATATCAGATAAAGAATGAAAGGAAGAACAAAATTAAAAGGAAAGAGGACAAACTAATCAAATGTCTTTCACAAGTGACAATAGACTTAGGTTAAAAGAACAAGTTTCTGATCCTTTTTCATCGTTCTACATATAAACTAGAAAGTACATTGTACCAAAGAAGCAGAGTAGAGAGTTCCAGAATTAATGTCTAAATAAGTAGTGATAGGATCACTAAGCGCTGACTCTGCATGTTATAGTTAAGCCATGCTTAGGTCTAAGTTTAACCACTCTCAAGTGTGCATTATGCATCCTCAAATCACTTATGGCAAAATCTGGATGCCATTCTGAGATTGAAAGTCAACATCCAAGGCAACCATTCACATGTAATAAAGATAAATAAGGACAAGTGATGCAGAAGATCTAAAATGACACTAATCCAACTTAAAAGAGACATGAATTATGTAGTCAACCAGCACAAAAAAAATGCCTAGAGAAAATAAATGTCTTTCAAGGATGGCCATTTGAAAAGAAAAAAAAAAATTTTCTTTACGAATGAATTTTACCCACATTAACACCTTTTGATGACAACATCTGCACCATAAACAAGAAGCAGTGTAGAAAACATAAATGCTTCAAAGTCCTAAGACAAGCACTTACAGTTGCAGTACAAAATTTGATGCTTCTGAAAAATGTGTGTATATGAATAAGTGCATGACTGATTAACATAAGATTTGCAAATGTTGGAATCATATTTCCTCAGAATTATCATTTATAATTTTTTCTCCTTTTGAGAAACATGTATATCCAACACAATATTTTCCTTTTCGTAATTCCATAAAGTTTTTATTAATTTTCCTACAGTTATTGATATACACCTTCGAAGATAAGCCAAAGTTTACAATTGGTTGTGGGTGAAAATTATGCTAAATCACCAAGTAGGCATATTAATATTTAACCAAAGTAGTAGTCATTAGAAAAATGTGGCTGCGCTCTTACAGGAGCCAAAGATACTATTCTAGGGCTGGGTTATCTAACAAATATGTTTCTTGGCCACAGGCAAATGATGGGGGAAGAGCTTTCTGGTCTGAGTGTCAAAGATTTACAGAATTTGGAGAATCAACTCGAAATGAGTCTCCGAGGTGTCCGTATGCGGAAGGTTTGTGCCTCTGTTATCCTAGTACTCTTAAGAGTGCATGTTCAGACCACAGAAAATGGTATGTAATTTAACAAAGCCTTCTTTGTAACATCTCTGTTTTTTGTGTAGGACCAACTTCTTGTTGATGAGATACAAGAACTAAATCGGAAGGTGAACTTGATAGCTATATGCCAATCTGAACCCACCATCCACTTAAGTATCTAAGTCTCACTCCTCTTTCTTGCAGGGTAATCTTATCCACCAAGAAAACGTGGAATTGTATAAGAAGGTAAACTCACTTCGTCAAGAAAATCAGGAATTGTATAAAAAGGTATTATGTAATGACAAAATTGCTCCAAACTGAACAAGGCCAATCTCTTCTGTCTTTTGCAAAGAGGCCACACTTTCCCTTTTCAATAAGACTCGATTCAATATTCTCTCTGCAGGTATATGGATCCAAGGAAGCAAATGAAACTAACAAGACAGCTCTCCTCACAAATAGTCTAAGTATTGGAGAGGATCCAAATGTCCCTGTGCATCTCCAGCTTTGTCAACCACAGCAACAAAACTACGAGAACACAGAAGGAGCACCAAAACTAGGGTAACTACTTACCCATTTGAACTCTTTTGTGATGAGAAATTTGGATTCCACCACAATGGTCCAAAACTGACTTCATTTTTACAATGTTGCTACAGATTACAGCTTCACTAGTAAGAAGACAAGGAGCTGCCTTCTTACTGTAAAACTCCACATTTCTTCCAGCATTGTGTCCAATTAGTAAAGAGTGGTACAGAAACCACATATTAGCCAGAGAAACCATCAATTTCAAAGCATATCTGAGGTCAAACAATGCTGCTGCTGTCTATGATAAGATGATCAGAAATAAATGAAAAAGGAGCATTGCATGTCTCAGATGTACTCCAAATATCTTTTGATAGGGGCATCCTACTGGGTATGTATACGTGCGTATAAGTTGTGTCTTCAAATGAAAAAGCAAGTTTCAAAATCACACAGGAAAGATGTCCATTTATTTATCATATATGCAAGTCAGACAAAAATTCATGATGAGAAGGTAGTCTGTGATAACATGAGACCATGGACAAAAAGAGCTTGGTTCAGTGAAAAAGTTAATTAGAGGATACAAAGCCCAACACAGATTCAATGACAGAGCTAGTGTGGCCAAACAATGTCATACAGGGATGAAGATGAGCATTTGATTAATCTGCACCACATTTTTCCAAGAAGAAAAGAAAAGGATCCAAGACAAATTAAAGTCATTTATGAGGCGGGTCTCATCTGATAACAAAGATGCATGAACTACATTAAACAGGCTAAAAATGTTCAGTAGATAAGAAAGATATCACTAGTATGCAAAAAGCTATTTCAATCATTCAGAGAGTAAAAATACAAAGATCAAATCCCCGTTAATTAATACTATCAAAAATATCAATTGGTGATCTATCTGTGGCAACCATATTTAAGAACCTTTGATAAACTTAATATGTGTAAACAGAAAAAGCAAAAATATTCTTAAAAAAGTTATATAAAACAAGGCAACAATTACAACAGAAGATCAGTAATGGACGGCGAGAAGGAGAGGAACATGACATATCAGGGACAAACTTCAATAAGTTATGACCTCCAAAAATATCATCACTATCTATTCCCAGCTTTAAATGGCTAATTAAATATCTACAGGTTCAAATTTGCAAGAACAGGCCTTGGCAGAATAGAAATAGCAATTACCATGTGACCAGCAGATCATGGATTGAGGGTTACATTCTGTACCTTTTGGCCTTGACAACCCAACCTTTCCCTAGTCTTCATACTTGCAAAAGCTTTTAAGCTGGGCTGACCCTCATTTTGACAGTGTCAAGAATGTCTACATGATAAAATACATTACAAAGACAGATTAAGATGCCACTGGAAAAAACCAAAAAAAGTTATTTTACTGGGGTTAACATAATGAAGGCATTTTAAATAGGCAGAACCATTGGCCAAATCCTGTCTGAAAATCCAAATGCAGAAGTAAAGATACCCAATTTACTCTACACACTTAGCTGCCATGGTAGGTATTCTAAATTTGAAGATTCAATCTATAGAGGTAGTGTGCTTGATACAATATTAATCTCACAAATGTTTACCTCCAGTAGATAGCCTCATAGAGTTACCAATATCCAAGACAATTTGATCCTATTGGAAAGGAAAAATTTATAGTTGAATATCCTCAGGTTTCTTGATCTAACAAGACCTGTAATCCCTTAACCATACCTAAAGCCTCAAGTGCTTATAAACATTTTTACTCTAGAAAATAAGATCTAAAAGAATAGTAATCCATTGCACTGGAACTCTAATAGATACATTCATCATGCAACAAAAGCTTTAATCTTCCGCGGCGCACCTCTTCTACATAGATCCTCCCCCCACCCCAACCTCTTCACTTCCACCATATCTAACAGCCTACCAGCCTTGGTATGCTACAATTCTGACCACTCTCTTCCCAAAATCCACAAACCACATTAGTTCATGACCATGAAACCAAGTCTGGATATTCTGATGGTGAGATAATATCGACCATTCAAGAAATTTCGCCATCGAACTAAATGGACAGTACAAGCTACTGACTTTGATCTAAGACTTTAGGAATGCATAATGACAAAGAAAACAATGAGTTACACCACGAGGCTACTGTAAATGGGATGCAACATCCACATTGATTAAAACTTGGCTCATGAAACCAATGAGCATAACTGATTTTATGGCCTAGGCAATATAGAGCAACAAGTTTGGACTGCTAATTTGACCAAATTAATTCATCTCCAGTCTATGAATTTCGGTCATTCCTGTGAATCAAAAGCGTCTTGAATCCCATTGATATGTCCCAATGAACTTAGGGGAAATTTATTGGCCACTCTATCCCCGCATCAAACTGATTCTCTTGATCTTAACAGAAACTATATTTAACAAAATCTAAATTTGGACACACCAGAAATCCCTCGTACTAGAAGTTGGATCAGTTGGCTGATAGCTTGATCCTACGACTCAAACCATTGATAGTAGATCAACTCCATAAAATTTATGGGCACATTGACATCCATCCCCCAACTTATTCGGGAGAGTTAACAACAATGAAAGTGATCCTTTCTCAATTTGCATATTTTCCGAATGGTTCCCCTCAATTTGGAAGAACAGATATACATGTAAAACTCACCACATAGGGGTCAGGTATATGCATCATGTAACATCTCCATGTTTGTTTGTCCATACACATGTCCTCTAGCATCTATTTTTCACAGAGTGTATTAATGTTGTCTAACTGATATATATACCATACAGAGGAAGCCTACACAAACAATAATCACAAAATATGGAAAAAAAAAAAAAAAATGCCTACAAATTAATCCGCAGATTTTGAACACTTTCCCCTAAAAGAGACCATGGACTGACTAGCTAGAGAGAACAGAAATTATGGGAGTTAACTCTACTTTCTCATTTTCTGAAGAAGCAAATGATCAAAAGAGAGCACTTCCCTATAAAAATTAATTAAGAGGAAAATAAGTCCAAAGGCTAACACTTACTTTTGTGGGGAAAAAAACAAGGATGTTTGGAAATGTAAACTTTTCCAACTATTTAATCATAGTCAAATAAACATAGAAGAAAATTTCTTTTTAGTTGAGACTCAGCATGCGAAATTGTTAAAGAGTACAAATTAGCAAAATTACAGCAATCATAGAGCGGAAAAATTAAGAATACTAAGCTCAGATTCATACAAACTTAAAAAACTAAAAAGAAAATAAAAACATAAAAAACAAAAGGAAGGAGTAGAAGAAGAAAGAAAAACAACATACATGGAGAGGCAATATCTGTAAATAACGTCCAAGATGCTATGAACAGGTGAGCAAAATAAAACAACTACGAATAAACAAGAAAATAATAATATTGCACATGCACTAAAGAAAAAGTAAAATCACTGTAGATTTAAACCATAAAATTAAACAACCAATCGTACTATATATATGAAGCAAAACTTTAATGAATCGAGTAGTAATCATTGCCAGAAATGCACGGAAAAGCTAATCATGATCAAAATTTAAACAATAGAACAAACATAATAATAATAATAATATATGCAAGCTTACACCGTAAATGTAAAGCAAACGCTGCGGAGATGAACTGCAATAGTGCAATCGGAATCAAACGTACCTGAATCAGAAAAAAACAAAGCGAAATCCTCAGAGAAATGGACCTAGGTTGAAATTCTTTCGCAACTTACGATATGCAAAAAGATTGAACATAATTACGAAACCTCAATCAATGACGAAGAAGAATCTTAGCTGACAAGAAGATTGGAAGAATTTTCGGAAACAAAAAACGACTAGCAAATCGCAATGCATTTTATACAAATCACTTCCCAAAATTCATAAATCTCTTTACGAAAAAGAAGGTTTCAGAACCTCAAGTCCTATTCCAAAAGAAGCACAGAATCTAAAAACATTTCAGTCTTCCTTATATCTCATTCTCTGAAGGTAATCAAAAGCAACGGCGTTTTATTACCGAAAACATTCATCAGAAAATGAGAAAACAGATGATCAAGAGGAAGAGGAAGAAGAATCGATTCATGAAATTTAGGGGAAAAAAATAAGTTTGAGAATCATCGGAGTGGTTTCCCGTTGGGATGCTTCTTGAAGAGTAACAGGAAATTGTATGAGGAGGAAGGGTGACGCACTGACGCTGAATTGAAAGGGAGAGCTATGAGGCATTTGAGGGGGCCAGCAAAATATCTAGGATTTGGGAGTTTATATAGGGTGTTCAAAATGGCCCATCATTGGTTGGGGATTAATTAAATATATAAATCCAATTGATTATTCTTAATCAGCAAATTAAATATAGATTAGGCAGGGATGTGGGTTCTATCTGGAAGCTTTGATTTAGTGTTTTTTTTTTCCTTTTTCAATTTCTTTTTGTTCCATCTTTGAAAAGAGAGCTTGAACTTTGTTCAGAAATTAGTGATCTACTTGTTCTAAAAAATCTTTTTTCTTTTTTACTATTTAGAAGAAAATATATTTTTCGTTAGTTACCTTAAATAGTGAGAAGTGAGACATACACGGAAAAATTACAGAAAGTTTAACAGAGAATGATGTGGTTGAATCCTAACTATCTCTTAATCCTTAAAGTTAAATGTATAAATTCGTGAAAATAAAGTTTAGCTATGGATGATTGTGATTCATTTCCTGTATTTTCCTTGCAACATTACTCTTAAATAATTCTTACTTTCTTATTCTTAACTGAATATTTTCGCTTCTGATTTGAAGTTTGTTTACGAAAAAATTTAAAAGTTAAAATACGTTAAATAATCGATAAAAAATTATCACCTTATATAATTCACTACATACAAAATTTTCTGATCAGTTTCCTTTAAAGTCTCATGAATTCACGTATAGTGCAAGAATTGATATTATTTTCTGTTCACGGGTGACATAAACAAAATTTTCATAACATTTTGTGGTAATTTGTAAGCAACACGTTTAGCTTATTTTAACTACTTGAGATATTGTAAAACTAAACTTTTTAATGCTTTAAGCAATAAATAAAGGTCAAGAAGAA